TGATACAATTCTCAAAGATGAAAATTAATTTTATGCTAATACGAAAGAACGGTAAACATGTTAAAATATGAAAAGCTAAACTTGTGAAATAATTTGTGAGTTATTTTTTTTTTTTTTGCAAAATTACTTCTCAAGATTATTGCGAATTGAAAAAAATTATAATTTGTGTTTCCTTTTTTTAATTTCTAATCCTAACGAAGGATATTAAATTATCTGATAAAAAAGAATTTGAACGATCATTTTAAAAGAAGTGAAAATTTGACCGGAGACCAAAAAATAGAAATCTAAAAATTTCTTTTTAATCTATCGCTTCTTGACCAATTATTATTATTATACTAGCAGATCTACAATAATTGAAAGTGGGCTATAAAAAGAAAGTAGAATAAACTAGGAAACTCGTTACTAAAAGAAAAAAAAAGCAAGCCAAAAAAATTAATAAATATGCAAATAGGCTTTCGAATTTTGATTGATTGCAAGTATGAAAAAAAAAAAAACAAAGAAAAAAAATAATACCTTATTATCAAAGTAAGAATTTATATAGGATAAATTTTAACAAATATGTATAAGGTTTCAATGTTAAACCGTATTGTCATTACTAACACAATTTTAAATATGTATATACAATTATTGTAGTCCTATTATTACCTACAATGATTATAATAAATACATATAATAACAATAATTATTGGATAATTATGTGGTTAATGCACTTAACCGTGCGTAAGTGTGCCAGTAAATAACATTAACATTCTGTATAATGTAACGTGATAATAAAAATAAACATGAAAATACTTGTTGTTTCTATATTTTAGCTTTAATACCATATTTCTTTTTTTATTTATTTATTTTTTTTTTTATAATAAAATATCAAAGGTCGGTTATGAAAAGTTTTCAACAAGTGTCGAGTAATATTTATTATGGAAATAGCATATATTTCAAATAAGAAATGAAACTTTATAATAAATAAAATAAATTATTTTTTAAAAGTATCAAAATAAAATATTTTATCTTTGAATATTTAAATATGTATTATATATTTTTAATATTTTATTTATATAAATACTACGCTCTAATATAATACTTTTTTTTTTAATAATAATTAGAATATTTTATTTTTAAAAGATGTAAAATAAAATAGTTATTTATTATTTATGATTTAAAATGGTATTTTAACCAGGTCATTCTAAAGCCTCGATAGAAAAAAAGAAAACATATCATGTAATATTTATTCTCTATTTTACTTTTGTTCATTCAAAATAAATTCAATTTAAGAAAAAATTATTTTAATGTTGTTATATAAACTTTTCACTTTTATATTTGCATTTGTTATTACATTAACAAAGAATGAAATAATTTACATTATTACATAAAAGTGAATTGCAAATGTTTAAAATAATTCAATAAACATGAACAATTTTTTTATAATCACGATGATTCAGAAGATGACATACAAATTTATTTTCCTGGTTTGATCTATGAAATGTCATTGTTGATTCCATATTCTGAACGTAAATGATAAGTAAATAAATGTCATGTAAAATTAGTATTCAATAATTATCATTTTAGATGTTAGATTTCAAATATCAATTACAAAAGAAATACCATTATTTGCATGTTTTAATAATAAATAGAAAAAAAAAAAACATGTATATATTATACACGAATTTTATTATTTTTTTCAAAAACATTATATTGAAATTGATTTTTTCTGTTTTTTTTTTTTGAATTTGATTTATTGAAGAAAATGGAATTTATTATTGGAATATTATATCGATCATTGATTGATTATTACGTTTACAATTGTGAACGAATTGCATCGTGAAAATGTCAAGAAGTTTAATCAGTTGTAAAAAGAAACACGATTGAATTGACATTAATTATGAAACTTAAATATTTATATGCTTTTTATTTTCCCTTTTTATGGGATTCATTTCGAGCCCCTTTTCTACAAAACACCTTTTTACACCTATGTAATATTACTAAAAAAAAATATATATATATATATATCAATTTTTATTAGGTTGAAAACTATGAAACGGGCGTTTTTTGTTTAGTCTGTGTTTTTGAATTGTTTATTAACTCTAAAAATAAAGATTTTTTTCAAGAAGGCATATATGATTTGCCCAATCGTTGGCAAAAAGTCGTAGATGCCAATGGAAATTATTTTAATTAAATATAATAAATAATGTGAAAAATTGCGCTTTTCGTTTTTTATTTTCATTCAACGCCCGTTTCATAGTTTCCAACCTAATAATCTAAATTTGTCCGTGATTTTTTTTTTTTATGGTACCGTATAGAATATAAAAATCGGTAACAAAAAAAAACCGTCTCCGATATTTCGATAAGTATCGTTTAATTATTTTATATCATTAAGAAAATCGAAACTTTTCAACATATTTTCGTAAACTTAACCCTTTGCGGTCCTATGTCGAGTGTGACTCGACATCGCATTTCGCTCTGGCACGTCCTATGTCGAGCGTGGCTCGACATTGCTTTGTGTTCTAGCGCGTCCTGTATCAAGTTTCACCCGACTATATCTTAATCTTAGTTTAAATGAGATAAGATAAAAGCTACAGTTTTTTTTCTTAGCAAATGTGAAATAAGCCATGTAGTTTGAACTGAAGGGCTTAGTTTTAGTTTTTTTAAACACACCGTGGCGTACAGTTCAAAATCCTAGCACAACTAGAAAGTGTTTTCAACTTCTACATTTCTATAAAATATTTTTCTTTTTTGTAAAGAATATGGCTAAACGATAGTACAATAGTGCGTGATAATGAATTTGAAAGTGATGATAGTGATTCTTTAGGCGACGTAGAAGAATAATTTCAAAGAATTAAACGGTATCATACAATGGTTAATTATAAGCTGTAAACAATACAAAATAATCTTTACAAAATTTTACAGTTTTATTTTATTTTATATATCTACTAATTCATAAGTACGTTACGTTAGTAAGGTCATAAGTGTTTTTCAAAATAAAGGCTACCAAGCGGATAAGCAACTTGCGAATTCAGTGCGGACCTGCTAGAACGAAATGGTGAAGAGCGCTAGGATCGCAAGGATTAATCGATCGTTGATTAATAACAAGTAAAACGTAATTTTCTTTTTCCATGGTTTAATTGTCAAGGTGTCATTAATAAATTGTTTTTCACGAAAATAAGTGAAAATTGAAATATAATTGTTTTGTCTTTGCATAATAAGTCCTTTAAATTGATTCGAAAAACTAAAAACGTATAATACTTGTATATATTTGTGCTATGATAATGTTGTATTGTAATATATAAATTTTTCTTTTATTAACAATATTCTGGAATTTTATATCTACGTAAATAATTGTTTTTTATTGAAAATCGACATTTTGATATCTTTTTTAGATAAAATTGCTAAATTTCATTATTTTAAACTGAACTACCACTATTTTATATATATATGTTATATTAGGTTAGGGAATCTGTTTCAATATTATTTTAATATTTTATTCATTTTTTTCCCGAAACTGTAGTAGTAAAAATAGCAGCAAAAAACATATATATATGTATATATTATTTATATATATATATATATTTGATATATCTATTTTTTGTTACGTTTATTATACGTATTCCAAAAAAAGTATAGTAGAAAACCATAAATGGTAGACTAAGCGGACTCGTAGACTCCTGAAATATTAAAAGGCCCCGAAGTTCTAAAAATGTCTTTTCATATTGGATTTCAAAGGAAATTACGTTATTTTCAAAAAATTTATTTAATTTGTGGAATAATCATATTTTAATTGGTACATTCTAAAATCTGCTGACTTCAATTGATTTATCTTATTGGTTATTGATATTAAAAAGGAAAACAGAAACTACATTATTGTATTTGATACAATTACACAGATTGTATTATATATCATAATAAAAATCAACGAAAATAAGAAATACGTCAAATACATCCAATTGACGCACAAATATATATATTTACGTTATAATATATATACATTACTTGTCGACCACCATATAACTTGTCCCATGTAACCTCTATGAACATAATTGCTATTTGTGTTCTGACCATTATATTACAATAGAAACAAGAAGAGACTGATATATATTTATCATGTATATGTGTGTATGATGTATGCGCGCGCGCTTCTTTTAGTGTGTTTAGTTAATATAATACATATATATATATATACATATCCTAAGCGAATAATATACGCACCGGTATTTTGCACGTTCGTCCTTCGATCGTGTTCCTAGTTTGCCCGGTTTATTTTTTTGTTACTTTTTTTTCTATAACGTACTTATTAGAAGTATTTCTCCCTTGTTTAACCAGCCCTCCCTTTCCTTCTCTTGTCCCTGCCCATCACCTTATAACTGTCCTCTGTACCTCTTTCTCTCTTTCTCTTTCTCTTCCCCTTTTTTCATCCCATCACAACCTCGATTTCATCGGCAGGTTAAACGACCGAACCCCATCGATGATAATTGCCAGGATTGGCAAGCATCAGAATATAGGGAGAAGGGAGGAAAGGAGACAAAGAGAGGAAGTGCAGATTGATCGCGAAATTTAACGATAAGCGTGAGAGGGTAGAGGGTAGTAGTTAGAGGAAGGGGGAGGTAGGTAAGTACGTAGGTTAGGGAATCTGTTGTAATATTATTTTAATATTTTATGCATTTTTGATCACATTGAAATCGTAAATTTCTACCGGCGAAATGGGCAAGAAGCAGATACAAAACGGGATCGAATGGATTAATATCAAAACAAAAAGAAATAGAGACAGATTGCAAACAAGAGACGACAGATATTATGACAAAAAAGGATGTAAATTTGAAAGGACAAAAGTGTGTGATGGATGATTGATACGTGACAATGTTCACGGTGTGCGTAGTAACAAAATAAAATCTATTCGCGTAATGTAAGAAGAAGATACATTCATTTACGTGTAAGAAGAAAAATATAATAATAGAGAGAGTTATATATGTATATATACTTTGGATTTGATTTATTCGAAATAGACTCACCTGGTGAGCTCCTTTCTGCCTTATAATCCGCCTCCCGTTAACCGTAAACGGTGTTAGAATTTAGTTTCTTCTTTTCAACGAGCCGCGGTTTGTCTTTCCTTTTGTTTCTCTCTCTTTCAGTTAGAAGTTACGCACGAAGAGAAAAAATTCATGCGTATAGTGGTGGGTTTTTGCTTGTTCGTTTGAGATAGGCTTTTTACCCTGTCTCCTTGTTTTTCTTGTCCTTTTTTACAATTATTCCTCGATAAGTGTAAAGCTTAAGGATGTAGTAGTAGCAGCTGACGACAATGATGTCCTGTTGTCAGGTTCTCTGTCTCACTTTTTCTTTCTCCTCTTCTTCCTCCTTCTGTCTTTCTCTTGCTCTCACTTATTCGTCTCGTTCGATGTCAATGAATGCAAAGGAACGATGCAACAGCGCCGAAGAAACTAAGGTGAAGTCTAAACGCGGCAACGGTTAAATATAACTCGTTGACTAGTGTGGCGCTGCAATCGCCGCGCGCAACTCCATCTCGTGATATTTGAAAAAAATAAAAAAAAAACAAACAAATTTTTTTTTTCAATTAATTTAAATTCAAATTAAACATTTGTTTATAAGTTTAAGTTTCAAAAAATAAAAGAACATTTTGGTTACAATTTGATTACAATTTGACAAAAATTTTGTCCCAAGAAGAGAATAAAAACATATTTCGCAAACGAAAATGTAAAAAAAAAACACGACGTATTATGAAACAATAAAAAAATAAATATAATGCTTAGAATATGTGCTTTATTTAATTAAAAAACTTATCGTTAGAGAATTAAGTTTCTCGGAAAATCATATTTAAAAAAATTTTTTTTATATAAGCAAATGAACGTAAGTACATAAGCACTAGTTGTTATCCGTGTAGATAATACATATAAGAAAAAGAATTTATTCAATGTTATTTTGGCTGATTGAGTGTCTTACGATTTTCTTACATAATAAGATACAGCACTTTAAAGATAACAAGTTATAAAGCACGTTCGTTGTGCATGGTATTACTGTGATTATGGTATTTTTGTATATGTACTATTGTATTTAATAATATGTAACATTTTAGCCAAATATTATAATCAATAATAGATTATTTAGATTATTTCTTAAGTCCAGGTATACACAAGTAAATGGGTTGATTTATTTATATATAATGATTTTTATAGTCTTAACAAAAATTTAAATAAACAAATTTTTTAGAGTCGAAAAGGTAGACCGTCCAATTTTGTTTCGTCCGTTTTCTCGGTGTTTTCTGTTTTAACAATATTTTCAGTCGATACCTTATGTTTATCGATTGGTATTGTAGATTTTTTTTGAGATATACCGACGAACGATACCCAAGAAACCTTTTTTGACATGTCATTGGCTGACCGTTTACGTACGGATGATGAACGTGTTGCAGACGAACGACCCTTCACAATTGTTGGTAAGTTAGATGATGCTTCGCTAGATTTCTTTCTAATTGTTATAACATTATCGCTATTTTTTTGAGCCAAATTAGAATAATCGATTAGATAAGGAGCCGTGGTGATTGGTTTATTCGAATGATCGTTAATAGAATAAGGTTGATAGGAATGGTCATTGTGATGGTGACCTTGATAACGAAGGTCGTTTAGATGTTGACGATGAGAATGATCATTAGGATTATGAGAAGGGGGTGGAGGAGGAGAATGATGATGATCAAGTTGATGATGATGATGATGATGATGATGACGAAGAGGATAATGAAAATGTATATGAGGCATATGAGGAATAAAATGATGTTCTCGAAATCCGCGAACTATGCTCTCTTGCATTTGCTTTCGCTTATTCCAAATTCTTTCGAATATACCAATGGAAACAGCAGTTATTAGGCCAACTATCAATATTAAAAAAGCCGAATATACATCGGCAAATCTTGCACTGTTAAAAGTAGTCGGTGCTTTGCACGTTGGCATTTCCGGCAACATTCTTTCAGCTATTCTACGAAGTACACCGTGTTCTTGTATACGTAGAATACTGCAATAATCAAATATGAAGTAAAATTTATTTTTTTTTAATGTTCTCTCAAATGAAACATCGATCAATTTCATGGTTACCTTAAATTGATAATTTTTTTATACGGACAAGTATTGGCCATTGGTAAGGCGACAAGGGCAAACGTCTGAGGCAAAGGAAGTTCTTTAAGGCTACATCTTTCTTGAATAAATGTTGTACGCAAAGCACGACGTGCTAATGTTGCGCTAACAAAAAATCCATAACGTTCCTGTGAGGCTTTCATGAGGCCAGTTGTCGCACTCAAACGAGATTCACGACTGTTAAAAGCTTTTATGTATAGTTGACGAAGATTACTGTCGTTAACGTTCTACGAGAATTATAATAAAATAGAAAAAACAAAAAAGAATAAGACAAAATGATAATTATTATTATTAATAAAATAAATTCTTACCCGAATATATTCGTCGTCCGTGATACTGTAACCTAATTTAAAATTATTAAATAAAAGATCAGTGATCGATCTTATTCCACTAGCTTGTACGGATAATATAGATGTTATGAAACCAGCGTATGCGTTGTAAGTGACCAATGCAAATATTAGACTAAAAAGTAAGAGAATTTTTCCTGACGGACTTTTTGGTATCCAAGGTGATCCTGCGTGTAGGATAATTTAAACGATATATTTAAATAAACAACATTTAATAATTTTGAAAAAAAATCAGAATTGGTAATTAGACGGTTACAAAACCTTGCATGCACATGATACTCATACACCAAAGTGCTGCTTCACCAAGTCCAACATTTTTTTCTTCCTCGGGATGTAAAGTTCTTTTAGCTATATAAATGATAGTACCCATTGAAAGTAAAATGAGAAAATATGTGGCTGCTACGCAACCAAGTAAACGATCATTGAACGGTTGGAGAAATATGTCTCTCATGGTACCAGTTTCCAAAGGATGATAATAAACATTTCTCCTGTAATGAATAAAATTGAATAAATTGTTCATTTTTATGAAAGTGTAATAATAGATTTTAATTACGAACATATATCGAATAAGAGGATGACTAAACGTCATATCTTCCAATCTTTCATCATTGATGGTTATGTATCCTAATCCAGCATCAACATTGCCAGTTACAACGTCACCTAGAAGATTGCTCCAGACTTTATTTGTCAGGGTACCGAGTTTATCATGAGCTATCAAATCCATACTACAACGGAAAATAAATAAATACTTTTTGTTGTTAGATAATAAATGTCATTTGTTTAAAAAATTATATAATATATTTTTTTTTAAATTATATATATATATATAGAAAATGTTATTACAAATAAAAACAAATTATGATAGGAAGGTATAATGAAAAAATTCGCAAGAAGATTAAGTATATATATATTGTTTTTTTTTTGTTTACCTAGCATTCAAATCGTGGATTACAGAATTAGCAAAATCAAGAAGTGGTGCTATATCATTGACCTCGAACTCGTTGGTAATGTCCGTTTGACCATCATTAGTACCATTTAAAACGCCAAATATGATTGGCCAACCTTTGAAATCCTTTCTCAGTTTAACGCTTATTGGATTCTTTAACAAAACTATACCTGGACACCAAGGACCAAGAGAATAAACGACGAGACTTGAATTGTCGTTGTTGCGAATTTTGTAAACGTGTAAAAAATGATAACACATCGTTCGATTTTCCCGAGTTATGTAATCCAGATTCATCATTCTATCGGGATTTCGTCGTTCTGATAAATTTTGAAAGTTCACTGGATGACCATAATGTCGGAGACTCGAACACGTTCTATTAAAATTAAAATATTTATATTATAGGACTTTATTTTTTATTGTTTTATTTATATATAAACAATTATCATAAAAGAAAAGGATTATTTTTTCGTTGAAGTAATTAATTGGTACTTTTAAATAAGTTTTTTTAAATGACTGTATTAAAAAAAGTTAGAATGTGAAAATGGTTTTAGATTTAGCCTAAAAGTAGAAGAATAAAAAGGAATTAATAGGAATTATTCCAATGGGAATAATTTATCTGTGTATGCTTGACTCGTAAAAAAGACACAAAAGCAATTAACCTTTACTAGTTTTAATGGCCCTAGCAAATTTACAATTTCTAACCTGTTTCGATACTTCAATGTCAATTCTCTCATAACATCCTGTGAATGTAAAGAAGTTGCAACTACGACATCACTGTCAATACCTATATTGAGATCCTTCAAAACACCATCGATGGTGGTGTCTGTGTTTCTAGCCGTAATCATAAACCAAGAAACGTAATAGTTGAATAATAATTTTTGCGATGCCTATAAAATAATGATAGGATATATAGATTCGATTTGATGTAATTTTGCTAATTATAAAATTGTTATTTTTAATCAATTATCAATTATTTAATCAATTAGGTAATTTTTATCAATTATTTTATCAATTAGATTTACAAATATAATCATTAGGAAAATTACCATTTGTTATTTAACCAATTAACTATGAAAGTAACGATGATAATATAAATACCTATTCAAAATGTTCGAATAGATTTTGATCATTCTAGTTTTAGGAACTGATCGATAATATTTAAAAAATACTAATCAAATAAATACCAAAATTTGAATGATAAATTTAATAATTATTTCAATATACGTACCACTTGTAATACGTTATTCGGGGTAGTAAAATTGAATCCATCCAAAAGTACTATAGAACCAATTCGATGTCGTTTTATGGTAAGTGCTACAGGTATATTTGGATTAGTTGCTGATTGAATAGACACACTGATTCCACTTTCAGCAAGGCATGCCATTAAAGATCGAGCATATCTCAGGACACAATCTGCATTTGTATATTTATATCGAAATTAATTTTAATACAGTTGTTTTAGATATTGTCATACATATGAATAAATATCTTTCTATTATGAATGAATTTATAGTTAAAAATAAATGAAAAGGAAAAAGAAGTTAAAAGAAAATAACGTGACAAAGTAATGATTAAGAAAAAAAAAAAGGATTTTTAACGTGTAGAAATTGAATTTTTTTGTATCAATTAAAGAGATAAATCTCTTTGAACTTGTTACTACAGTATTATATTTATTTTTCAGATTGTCAAAAAAAGAAAAAAAATTATATTCCAGACGCGATTAATAATTTCTCATTAGTTTTATCTAATAACCTTTTTTAACCATCTTAATCTAATAACCCTCTTTTATCGGAGAATAGCGTGATGGTTTATCATTGAATTATAGTAATTATTTATATCGGTTCATTAAAAATTTTTCCACGTGAAATTAAGTAAATTTCCACAGACAAAAGTACAAAGTGTGAAATGGAAATTTTTGTTTGTTCATAGAAGAATTAAATTTGCATCATACTCACTCTTGGGACTGAGGTTATCAAAAAGTACTATCTGATCCCACGATCTCCATTTAGCATACTCGATTATTAATTGTAACGTTAATGTCGATGGCATAACACAAATGTTTGCAAAAACGTAGGAAAAAGTCATAAGCATTAACAAAATAGTCTTCATATTTTTTTTTGTTCTATCTTTTTCTCTCTCTTTTGTTTTTTTTTTTATTTTTACTTCTTCGAACACTCTTCTTTAACAAAACACGACCCACACACTTAACCAGAAGAAAAATCGAACTTTCTTAGAGAAATCTGTTTGGTATAACATTGTAATACGTGCATTATACGTGTCTGTATGTACCGTTATGTACAACCAATCATTTACCTTCGTTCTCAGTTGCCCGTCAAAATTAATAATTTCGCTTAGCGTGTGTGTTTTTCTAAAATTAGAAATTAAACCGAAGGATAAATTAAACTTTTTTTTTTTTTTTTCAAATATAGGTCGTAGTTTATCGATAATTTTTCGAGACAAAATTTTTGCAATATTTATCACACTTTCAACTTATTTAGTGATTCGTATTAATCGTATTAATACAAGTACGTATGATAATTATTTTATTTGTTTTCTCTTCTTTTCTGTAAATTAACCAATTACATTTTCTCTTGACTTACCTTCAGTTAATCGATCATACAGAAATGTATATATTTATTTACGTAAGTATGTATTTAAAAAAAAAAAAAAACACCAAAATATGAAGATGTTCCGTTTGATTGCACACTCGTGTTATTATATTACTTTGATTGTTTTGATTATTTTGATTTATTTGTTTAACTAAACACAAAAAGAGGATCCTTTTTTTTGTTTCTTTTTTTTCCAACGATGATACTAATGTGAACTATATCAGAAGACGATTGGTCAGAAACTGGAGGAGATGTTTTCTTGTAAAAGTCGATTCGATTTATTTCTTTTGCACCCCCGTCGAAACTATTCAATAAAAATAAATTGACCCAGATAAAGATCGCAAGAACACTTTCATTTTGTTTTTTTTTTCTTCGTGCAAATTAATTGATTGAATGTTGGTCTCCTAATGGTCATTAATGATAATCCGATGGGATTTCAAAGACAAAAGTGGAAAAAGAAAATTGATCAATTTACTTAACGACTTTATGAGTTCAAGCAAACATCGCATTATTTGCTTATAATTTATTTGATCACTATTTTACAATAATTTTAATCCGAATTTTATTTTAAATATATGTTCGGTATATATAAATATTATATACATAAACTGAGTCAACTAATATTGGTATCTAAAATATCTTTGTTGTGTTATTAACACATTCGCGACCGACATATTTTTTCCTCTTTTAACACTGAGTACCGACAAAAATTATGAATTATTTAAATTTATATTTAAATAATAAAGTATAATAATATATATGATAAAATATAAGTATTTAAATATTATAAATATTTATTTATATTAAATTTTTAAAATTTTAAATAACGTAAATTTCACGTCAGCGGTAATTAGGAATAGAACTTGAAAAGACGTGAATTCACGTCATCGGTCGCGAATGTGTTAAAAATACGACACAACTATCTTATTCATTCCTATTATTATAAATATTATAATTATTTATCAGAGTGCTTTAAATTGATGGTCAGTTTGTAAGGATACTTCGGGATTGCGTTAGGATTGTAGCAGGATTACATACTGATACGTAATTTATAATGTTATTTTATTATAAATACATAACACCATTTCAAATTTCGGATTCAAAATACTGATAATTTTTTTTGTATTATAAATATTAAAAACACTCAGCTAGATCACTAAACAAAAATGTTTTAAAATATTAACGTAATAAGTAGCACTTATTTCTTTAATTATTCTAAATTACTGTTTATTTTTTCACACATTCGATTTATCATCGTGTCTTCGACTGAAGCACAAAATTTTATTATAAGTAATAACGTAAATTACTCGTTTTTTTTTCTTCTTCAATTTTATAGATTATTTTTTCGTTTTAATGTTCTTTATCTATACCCATTGTATAAAAAATACAAAGGAAACATGCTGAGTTGGCTCTTAACAATCTTACAGAATTTTTTATTTGACATACATCAATTAAAATAATTATCGTGTGCGCAACTTTTGTTGAGAAAGGCAAACAAATAATTGTTCGATATTTCTTGCATAATACTTATTATTTAAATATCCTATTAAATCTAGTATTAAGCATGCTTTAAGTTACCATATGCAATATACGATTACAAAACTAAATAATTGACAGATCATATTGTGTAAAGTTATTAATTTATTTAATTACCTTATATTTATTTATTTTTCAATTATCATTTATATACAATCTCATTACGTTTAGAACTTAAATTGTTGAAGAATTAATGATTAAAGAACTATCGGTAACAAAATATTGTAATTATTAGTCCTTAATATAATTGATTAAATATAATTAAAATAAATTATATTATATTACATATTGTTTTGTATACTTTTATTAAATATCTATAAACATTTTGACTGAAAAAAAAGAAATATTGATTATAAGGAGTTATTCGTTGTTGATAACTTACCGATAGAGTAACTTAATGGTAACAGATACTGTAATAAACATACTGTTAAACTGTTAAATCATATTTATTTTGATTTTGTTGTTCTTTTCATTGATTTGAAATGATGCAACAGCATCGTACAGCATGTTACAGACTTTAAGTTTTTGCACTATTGATTTCATTCAATCCTGGAACTCTCGCATGAGCGTAAAATTTAATTCACAAGAACACCGTGTACGGCGTTAACGGCATTCCGGATCAATCGGATTGAACAATAGGAAGATAGAAGGAGATAGAAAATAAACCGGGGGATGGAAACCACAACCCTTCTTTAACAACCCTGACAACAATTTCTTTTATTACTCGAAATATAACGATTATAATTATCATCGGAGTGTTAGTTTGTTGAACGTTGCTAGGAAGATATTTGTTTGTTAGGATTCTAACGGAAGGTATCGTAAAAGAAAATGAAGGATCATTTCATTCATGTTTCTTCGAAAAATTATCGGGAGTGTTCGTTCATATCGACGAAAAATATTTCGTTGACATTTCGGTGCATCTGTCATATGTGAATCTTCTGCAAAAAGGTAATCATTATTAAAATAATGTACTTACACATTATGTGCAAAATTGATATCCACTTGAAACGTGACGTTACTTTGACATTTTACATTTAAGCATATGTATGCGTATACAGGGTGCGGTAGTATTTTATACACTTTGAATATCTCCGTTAATTATTATTAATGTGAACAAAATGTTTACTATACACTAATTTGCATGTTACGTAGAAGGAGTGTGTATATTGCAGTAATTATTTCTTTTGTATAGACAAAAACGTAGAAGATATTACAATATCATTTTAATTTTTTTTTTATACAGGCTGATTTATTTCTCTGTTTATCGCTTATAAGAGTTAAAATGATTTTAGTAAGCTGTATATTAATGTAAAAGTATTTATCAGATTGAAACGTGTTTACCAATGTGTTATTTCGCTATTTTTGAATTTGAAATAACGAAGATGAATAATTACATAATTAACAAATGTCCTGTGAAAAATTACTTAATGTGTATAAGTTATATTCACATAACATGCGATTTCGTGACAGACGTGATGTTTTTTTTAGCATTTAAGAATATTTTATTTGATTTATTCAGACGTTATTTTATTCTCTGATTTATGTCTTTAGGATTATTTAAATGAAAAGAAAAAAAAAATTTATTAGTTACATTGTGGCAATTCATACTATGTGGGATTTAAAGAAGATCTTATTTATTATTTTGTTATATATTAGAGGGACCGAAATGTAATCAAAATTTTTCTTTGCTGGGGAAAAACATTTATTTATTAAAGAAATTTTAAATGCTTATCGATAAAAATTTTTTTTATCATTTTCTAACACTTTTTGTCTTGCATAAGGGAAATTGTTTAATTCCCTTTTTAAAAAGTCCTTTAATTTTTTATTGACACAAACTAAATGTGAGTGTACTCATTAAAGAAATTTTGATTACTTGGTAATTGATTTCAGGTGGTATCCCTGTATATATATTTTACTTTTCCTTTTCTCTTCGTAATTTAACAGCTTGAATTATAAGTAACTATTATAATCGAGTGAAATTACGTTTAATTAACGATTTATGATCATATAATACAAATCTTTCATTATCCAATTTTACTTATAATCAAGGTTATCAACGTTTAATACTTTATTGAAAAATTATATACGAATTATTGCCTAATTATTTTATAGATTTAATGTAAATAATTGAATGTTATTATTCATTAAAATATTTATGGATCATTGATATAAAATTATTTAGATAGGTGGATAGATTTAAAAACAATTAAATCGTTTTATTTCGTAGATAATTTTTAGTAGAACTATTTCGTTGAAATACTTTCTAGAAATATGTATGATCATTCTTTTTTTTTTTTTTCTTTTTTTTTTTTTTACGTATTATTAATACACGTGGTTACTTTATAATTTAATAGAGAAAAGAGAAATACCATTTGGTAGATATAAAAACGATAAAATATCGTGTAAATTAATGTAAATTATATTACGAGGAAAGAAATAATTTTAAATCTTTTCAATTATGATTCGAAATAGTAACTGTAAAGCACTTTACACCGGTTTACTATTACCATTACTTAGAAAGTACATTATACAATATTTTTCTAATCGGTATTACATTGACAGATATTTTTATCTATAAGATTTATTTATGAAAATAATAATAAAAATAAGCTACATAGTCTCAATTCATTGGATTAGAATTTCCAAGTAATAATTGAACGATCGTAGTCACCTGTATAAGTCTAATAAAAAAGAAAATGATAAATAACGGTATAAACACACAGACACACATACACATGTGTGTGTACCTATCATGAAGATAGAATTTGTATAAATGTAGAGAACATAATTTAAAAAAAAAAAAAGAAACAAAATGGTTATTATTTATTTGGTTAATATTATTCAACACTTGAAACCAATGAATTTTGAAATAAATCATCAGAGTATTTGTTAATAAAATATCAGTTGATATATATCCTGTATAAATTGAAAACCTTTGATACACATGTAACCTATAAGGTTGACTCTATTATAAACGCTAATTCTCTCATTATTATTTATAGTAAATAAAATATTTCTACATTCTTCTGTTGACTAGTCATAAATATTCACGTATACATAAATAATTTACTTTGTTTTCCTTATACTTATTCGATGAATACTCCAATGAAACGTCAATTAAAATTTTATTTTGGAAGCTCGTATTACATGAAATAATTTTTTGTTATATGTCCTGAACATTTATTAAACCAGATTATATGCAAATTGTTCCCATATGAGAGTGTATCTGTGTATATGTGGGTATGTTTAAGAATTGTAAAAGATTTAATGATCATTTATTTTACAAAATATTGATAAAAAAAATGTTTACAATTGTATATACGTGTGTGTGTGTGTTGAAAAGTAAATCAGTTAAATCAGTATTTTTATGATCCCGGATCGAACGTAAGTTTCAGTAAAAAAAAACGTCTCCGATATTCCGGTAGGTACCGTTTAATAACCTTATTCGACTGAGAAAATCAGAACTCTCCAGCCTCCTTTCATGAAATTCAAACGGTTTTTTGACTATATATATATATATATATATATATATATTCTCATTTTTTTCCTTTAACTTCAAGAAGTATAATTTTTATAATCCATTATTCTTTTTCTTTGCATTTACCACTATCCATTCTTAAATTTATTGGTTAAAAATGTATTATTAGACTTTTATATGATAAAAAAATCTCAAATATATATAATTTTTATAATTTTATTCAAATATTTTTATTCACAATTAATTCTTTCTTTTTTCTTCTCCCTTTTATAATCCCACGTATTTGAATATTTGTTTCAATATATTTTATTATTTGTCTATATCATTATCGATAATTTTATTATATAAATAAATTAATATGTAATAATAATAATTTATAATCTAAATATTATCGATTATTATATCCATTCTATAAATTTTGTTAAATTTTGTATAATTAATTTTAATATAATTCAAATAATTATTAAATTTATCATTATTAAATCAAAATATTTTATTAATAATAAATTTTGTTTAAAAAATTAATATTGTTCAATTTTAATTTCTTATTACTCTTTTTGTTACGGTTTTCTAATTCGTTTCTATTTCTTTTGTATGTGAACACCTTTTTCTCATATCTATTCCATGTTATAGAGGCCAAGACCTTTACTAATTCCTCGTGGGGCCAACAAAACATGGGTTTTTTTTCTAAACGGGTCACCAATACATTTACAAATCGTATTCTTCGTTGTATGACTTAGAAATTAACTGGAACTAGTATTTTAATGTGGTTAGATCAGTGGTTCCCAAACTTTTTTGTCCTATCGTTCCCTTTCCAGAAAAAATATTACTTATTTCACCATCTTGAAAATTTAATTTTATATTAACTGAGAAAAACTTTTATTGCACTTATGACCTTTTTTTTTTACAATCATCACCGCACACGTACAGTTTTTTACAGTTATTCATTGCCATTTTGTTATTCCCCCAACCTCAAAGTTCACCTGTGGTCGTCATCATTCCCCTGGACCATTTCATCGCCCACTTTGGGAACCACTGAGTTAGATCGTTGATTTAAATATTCGGTCTTTCGGAATTCGAACATCCTCAATATTTATTCTATAAACATGTTTTTATCTGATATAAGGATTAATCAATGCCGTAGTAACTTTCACTACTTTCAAGGGAATATAATAATCGTTAGAAATGTGTTTTTAAAATTATATCAAAATATTTTGTGTTAAATTGACTACTCTTAATTTCGTGAGTTTATTATAATAATTGTTGATAATTTTGTTGTTATCTCTTTTTGTCAAATTTGAAACATATTTTTACGTCAATATTACAATTCATTATTATTGAATAATTATTTGTGAACACAATTATCACACAAAATTTCTTTAGAATATGTAAAATAAAACCTATTTTTTTTCTCTTCTTTTTCTTTTTTTTTTTTGTGTGACCTCACTTTAATCATTTATAATCATTCTTTTTTTTCTTTTCAATTCATTTGTCCTTCGATTTTTTGTTGTTGTTTTTAAGAAAGCAAAAATATAATTTAAATATTTTTTATCTTTTGTACAATTTACGAAAATATTTTTCTTCTTCTTCTTCTTCTTCAAAAAATTATTTTACTTCTACCTTTCGCGATTTCATTTAAATGTTTTTTCATGGTTATTCAAAGAGATGTACTGGTTTTCATATTGTAATTAGTTATTATTATGTTAAAACAGATAGAAAAAAAATAGATAAAGAGAAAGAGTCAGTACAGTCCTGTAAAGCTATTGGAATAATATAAAACCGGAACACTATAATATTTCATGGGTAATTAAAAGACGATAAATTTGAAATAAAATGTACAAGGTCGAATTTCATTAACGTATAAGTTTTCTTTTCTTAAATAATTATTTTGATAACTATTAAATCGGTGAATTTATTCTATTTTGTTCATTTATGTATTATACTTTCTAAAAAATGTTTATAAGGAAACAAAAAGACAAGGGAATATGTCTAATATTTAATTTAACGTTAACAAACGTTACATCGAAATGTCTTGGTACAGAAATAAACCTCCGTTTGAATTAAAATTAGACTTTTTATATGAGAGAAAGAGAGAGAGAGAGAGAGAGAGAGAGAGAGAGAGAGAGAAAGAAAGAAAAAAAACTAAAATAGTACAAAATTAGTAATATGAGAGAAAAGACAAAAACCTTGAAGAAATTGCGTTGTCTCTGAGCTCACGAAAGTTCAATATTATTTTATGCAATGAAAGTTTATACATGGCAAATGTTTGATAACAAAGATAAGTATGACAACTAAAAGTGACAAATGAGAGAAAAAGAAAAGAAAATGTCAAAGTATCCTTTTTATTTTAATTTTTTATTTTATTTTATTTTTTTTTTTTCGTTGAAAGACACGTTCTTACGTTCATTCTATTTCTCTTTAAAATATTCACATCTAATTAGGATTTAAAAATAGAAGTTGATAATCAGAGAGAGAGAGAGAGAGAGAGAGAGGATAATGTCATACACTTACGCACATACATTTATTATATTATAAAAAGAAAAATATAAAAATTTATTTCTATACAGAATGATTTAACAGCTCTTGTCACTTAAATAACTCCGCAAGTATGATATTAGAAAAAAAAGTGGACAAAAAACAAATTTCATGAATAATTTAGAACTATATAACATTGTTATTTAACATTAGTATTTTTTTGCTAAATTGAGTTTTTTCGAGATTTATTGATCAACACTTCGTTTTTTAAAATACAATATTATATTTTAATATTTATTTTCTCCTAGCAGCTGTCAAGACAAATCAAATGATGTATTATATGAATATTTTGGAAGATAAACGAAGGTTAAAACTGGCGAACAAGGCGGCCACAATACAACTCTTCGGCGTTATGGTCGCGCGGTGGTCGCGTCAGGGTTGTTTCAAGATTGCGTCACCCTTTAGTTATTCTGACAATAGAAGGAACAGATAGTTTTCGAATAGTTTTTAATAGTCATTGTCAAGTTTTGTATTTAATATTGCATATCACTGGATTGGTATTGTCAGCCGCTATCTGAAAATAAGTATTAAAATATAATATTGTATTTAAAAAAACAAAGTTGACCAATAAATCTCGGAAATGACTCAAGCTTGCAAAAAAATACTAATGTTATATTGTAGTTCTGAATTTTTCATGCAACTTTTTTCTTATCCACTTTTCTGTTACTATTATACTTTTAGAGTTATTTAGGTTGCAAGAGCTGAGAAATCTTCCTGTATAATATATTTCATTTCCCTCTTTAAATAAATAATATATAAGTTATATGGAGTAGATAAATTATATATATATATATATATATTATTTATTAATAATATAATATAATTATACTATAATATAAATTATATAGTATATAAATAAATGATATATAAGTTTTTAATTTTCATTCAATTAAATTATTTACATTTAAATGATATGTGGAATTACAGGTGCCAATGAGCTTACGTTAATTTTGTAAATAATACGTTTACGCTTCCAATAATAATATTTTACGTTTTTAATATTTTTATGTTGATTTAATGTACAATATTAACGGCAAATTCTTTGCTAATATTAAAAAGACGAGGAGAGAGAAAGGGAGAGAGATGGTTTCTTATTCACTACTGTTTTTTCGTTTCATTAAATCCATCCAGCTCGCCCTGTGATTCCTTCGTATGTCATCGACCCCTTTGTTTTCTGTGTCAAAAAGTATGTTATCCGAACGGTTTATATCTGCAAGCAATGATGTCGTAAAATTTAACGTTCATCTAACGGACGAGATTTATATGTACTCACTTCTTTGTGATCGTAAGTGTAAGAAGAAAAAAAAAGGAAAGCAGAAATGAAAGCAATGTATTTTAATAAACTATAGAGGTGTTGTGTGTGTGTGTGTATGTATGTATGTATATTTGTAGGTCATAGTATTTTGTTAACGATATTCAATTTTTTCGTTAGCTCTCAAAATTTAGGATTATTTTTTACAATAATTTTTTCTCACTTTTAAGGGGATATCCTGGTCTAGAAGCCTAAATTTTAGGCATTTTTCAAACTAAGATAAAAAAAAAAAAAGAAAAATATTTTTAGTATCCATTTTTTTTATATGGTGTTTATTAACATTTTAAGAATACAAAAAAAAATCGTGAAAAAAAAATAAAAAATTCGTAAAAATACAGGCCGATGAAGTGGGGGTTACAAAAAAAACGATGCACTCTGGTTGACTCCAACTATAAGGTTGACTCCACTATAAGGGTTGATTCCAACCCTTATAGTGATCTGAAACACAAAAATTTGGAAAATTCTTAATCAGTAAAGATGTCGCTATCGGGTGACCCTTAGCCAAAAAAAAAAAAATTCACAAAATGGCGTAGATATGAAAAAAACATTTTTTTTCACCCTTTTTTTTGACCTTCTCGAATTTTTTTAAAATACTAAAAATTAAAATTATTCAAAATCTAAGGGTCACCCGATAGAGAGATATATAAAGAAGATTCCCGCCAAATTTTAAAGAAATCGGTCGAGTAGAACTTGAGATATTATGTTAATCACCTCGAAAAAAGTAGTTTCGAGAAAAACGCGTTCAAAGTTTCGCGTAATAAGGGTAGGGTACAGAATACCGCGTCACTAAAACAGCTATATCTCCGAAAATAATTTGAATTTTGAAAAATCCTTTTAAGGACATATTCCTAAAAGGTTAAGCTTTGAAAATATGAAAAAAAATCGATTTTTTCAAATTTCTAAACCAGAATACCCCCTTAACGCATACTTCTATGAGAATTAGTTTTTATTAATAAGATTACGAAATTTATTTGAATTTAAATACTCAATGAAAAATTATTGTCTTCGTAGTGAATTCATTTCAATTTATTACACAAACTCTGATTGTTATTTTGTCTAATGTCAACTAATAATTATAATAGAATAAAATTTAAAAGACGTCAAAGTCTACAATTGCACAATCCGAGTTGCTATTTTATAACAAGAGGTTAATTTTAAATAACACATTTAATTAATATTATCGTACATTCAAAGACTTTCATTCTCGAAGGTTCAACATTAATAATTAGATTCATTTTGCAAAACTTGAATAAGTATGCAAGAATTTAAGACTTGACATGACAGTAAATGTGCTTACTTCGCTAGAAATTATAAACTCCGATTTATAATACAATACATGACGATTAGTCTGCCGTAAAGTGTTGGTTTAAGTGATAAACAATATTGAAATATTTAATATAACAAACACTAGTGTGTTGTCTACTTAAGAAAAAAAAATATCAAACATTAGTTCTTATTAGCTAACCGGATGTTCGATTGTTTCACGTTCAAATACATATTCCTATTCTTTGATTATCATAATTATTAATATTATAGTTTAATTATTTTTTTTTCTTTTTTGGTAATACTTCGGAACAATAAGGATTTGATTTCTTCATTTTGTGTCAGACATATCTAATATCATTTATTTATAATCGTGTATCCCCTATCAAATTTCGCAAGGTTTATAACAAGGTAATTAGAAATAATGCATCCATAAAGTGTATTTATTTCAAGTGACAAATTATTTATTATTACTCCAGACATTAAGGAACATTTTATTTCTTAAATGTTTATTTTTTAATTATAAATTTTTTCGTTATTTTTGTTTCTTTTTTTTGTTTTGTTTTCTGCAACCAACCGCAAGGTTTTTAATTGATGATAAAATTGGTTAGTGATGTATTATTATTTTTACAAACATTTTAAACTATATATATTATCTATTATTATGGTATTATTTGATATTTTTTTTTTTTTTTACATTTCTATAACACTAGTTCGAAATTTATCTTCAACAATGGAAATAAACTGTTTACTTATTTTTGTCGACGTGAATAATAATATTTTAATGATTCATTGTTTCATAATTTTTCAGTCAAATTATTACCACAACAGTTTTAAGCCCTAATTGTAAGTGTAACACTGGTAATCCTCTTCTAATCATGAACAATGTGACTAACATTTTGTTTACTACTTAAAAAAAACATTACGTTGCCTTCAGTATTTCTGTACGTTTTCTTCGAAAATATTAAAATTGTTTTTTAGTTTTATTTCAAGTGGAATATATTTTAAGCTGAATAAATTGGACACAAGAAGCCTCGTTTTATAAACGTTTTGTAAAATTCCAACATACGAAAGTACTAGCATTATTATTAAAAAGAATTATAACAAAATTGAAATAAGAATGATAGAAACAGAACCATAAGAAGAAATTGGCGTTATTGCAAATGCTGTTTTTTAAAAGAGTACACTTTTTTGTTTTCTATTAACTTTTTTATTTTTTTTTTCTTCTTGTTATTAAACACTAAAAATAAAACTGACTTCAAAAGACACGTATATAAATACTTATATAAATAAAATCGTACCTATAAAAAATTTGTAAAAAAACAAATATCGACATTACTACATAATGTGTACGTTCTAGAACGATTTCTTTTATTGGTAAAAAAAAAAAAAAAATTACTTTTCAGTATATGTATTCAATGAGTATGAATAATTATTATACAAAGGTACAAGACGGGTCATAAATTAATAGGAAACGGTTGCACATGTTGAAATGTTCTCCCATTCTCTAACCGTTCTTTCATAATATCTTTATTTTACTTTTCGAAATATGATAATATAGTCTATTTTGAAACAATAATCAAAATGTTTTAAATATTGCTTAGAATATATCCTATTTATTTGATACTATAAATAAATCATATAAGAACGAATGAGACTATAAGTTTGTAATCATAATCCCAATTATATTTATAGTAGTTCAGTGCATTGTTTATTTGCATTTGTTGCACCACTATGTTTCTTTTTATTTTTTTTTTTTTTATTTACGAAAGTTTTACTTCATATCCGTTACCGAAGTGTCAAACGAATTATTCTAGATACTAATAATAACGAACATTAAGCATTTTACTCTTCCCCTTTATAACGTCATAGTTCGTAGCAATGTATAAGTGGCTACGCTTGTCCAGCGCCCAATGTTGTTAAGTAGGACGTACTTTCTTATAACTCCGGTATTTTGTGTCAAGATTCCAGTCGAGTCAGATCTCTTGTTGCAGTTCTATCATCAGGAATCATCCACACGCTACTTCACCTGGCCAAGTAGCAAAAATTGTGTGCGTGTGTTGTGCATTTTTCTTTTTTAACTTCAGTTTAAATTTATTATTTTTAAAATAGTTTCATTTTATTTTTTTATTTTTTTTTTAGTTTGTCATTTTCATACTTTTGTTTTTGTTATAATATTTGCTATTTTTCTATTTGTTCGTTCGTTTGTTTGTTTTATGTACGGTTTTCATTAAAACAAAATAAAATAAGGAAAAACAATCGTAAGATTATTTTTTCATGTGAGTCAATTTTTTATCTATACAATTTATAATACAATAAAAATAAAAAAACGAAACAATTTCTCGAATTTGGATCATCGATATTTCTGTCGTAAGTTTTTCCTTTTTTTTCTTTTTTTTTTTTTTTATTTGCTTTATCATTTTATTATTTCTTTTAAATTATTCTATTAGTTCTTTTAGTTTTTGTTGTTGTTCCTTCATTTTTTCTTCTTTTTTATTATAAACGAGTGATAATTACGAGCAAGATTATTGTTCATAAATTTATTTATTTATTTTTAAAACACACACATATTATAACACATACTATAATTCGATATTCTTCCAATTAGACAATTTTGTTCGATCGAACAATCCAACAAACTTATTTTCGATTTAATAAATCAATATGTTATAAGAAAAACGTAGAATATTTTCGCGTAGAAAAAAATTATAAAAAGTATAATAATATCGAATAATTGAAAAAAAATAATTAAAAAATTAATTGCAATATCTTAAGGATATAAAAAATTAAAGTTTATATCGAAATTATTGAATGAGTTGTAAAATATATAAATTTATATGTATTCATACGTATAATTATTTTATTATTAATTTGCTTTCCTTTTTTTTTTGTTTAGTTTAAAATATTATTTTATCTTTGTTTATTTATCGGATTTCTACTTTTTTTTTTATTTATAAAATATATAAAATAAAATGAAGGATTTGTTTTTGAACGCATAGGAAGATTGGAACTTAAAAAAAAATGAAATAATTATCCTCGTTGCTTGACATTTTGGTGCATATTAAAATCTTATAAGAAAATATATTATTTTTGTTAGATAGCTTAAGTTCTACTATTTATATATATATATATAATATAAATATCAAATTAACGAATTTAAGAATAAGATCATGTAGAATGCAATCTTACAAGAATATTTTCTAACGATTTTCTCGTTCGGTGCTTCCACATGCTTGATAATCCTTCCGTTCGACATACTTTCTTACTTGTGCGATTCTGTTTACTAGAATGAAATTAAACACTTTATTTATGGAATTCTTCCTGCAAACTAAAATAACTCACGAGCGATAATATTATATTTAAAAGTGACTAAATAATTGTTGCTTAACACTCGTCCTTCGAATATAATGAGTTTTATCGGAGAAAAAAACAAAAATTAAAATTATTCATGAAAAGCACGAACTTCTTATACAAATTTATTTATCGAATAAAAACGAACATTATTTTTTATATCAGTTTTTTTTATAGTATATAATAAAGATCTAGTACAACGAATAATTGCAAAGAAACTCGTTAATGAAATTTCGTAATCACAGAAAAAAATAGCTAGCTATAGCTAGACGCTAGCTTTGAGCGTCAAATTTGACCACATTATATAATTTCGATTGAACTGCCATCTAGACAAGAAGCAACGATAAAGCTGAAAATATTTGAGCTTTAAATTAATTAACGCTGGCATCATTTACATACCAGCATAGTTTTTTTTTTTCAACTGTAAATATATTTCATTATATATGAGAGCTAGTAAGATTCTCCTTCGTCTAATTTTATCAATTTCTGCTTGTCGAATTATTTTATTTTTTTTTTTTATTTTTTTTTTTAATTATTATTTTTACACTGTTAATTTAACTGTGTTGTTGTTGATCCAAATAGATAAGGGAATAACATAAATCGATAAGTCAACTTTCTATTTTTGTTACTTGTAAAACGTTATTTTAATTCGTCAATGTCGCTTGACATTACAGTTTGACGCTCAGATTTGACGATGCTTCTTATCTGGATGGCACTTTTATCGAAATTATATAATGTGGTCAAATTTGACGCTCAAAGCTAGCGTCAAGCGTCAACATGAAATCGCACCTTTACGGTTAATCTTACGCAAATGAACAAAAAAAAAATGACGTGCGATTTTTTCAAAACAACCATTATTTTTCCATTTCGTAACATTATCTATTCGACGTTTAATTGAATTCGTTAAAAAGAAAAAAAAAGAAATTCTTCTCTAGATGAGTTTTGTTCTAAGTATATTTAAATACATATATATATATATATATATATATATGCATATATGAATGTGATTGTATAAAAATATGTATGTATATATGTGTTACCAATTTTGAATAATTGCACTTGCACCATGGGAATTGTGCAACGATAGCGAAAGGACGACAAGTTTGCGAAGCATGAAAAATTATTACGAATCCACAAACTCTAGTATAGTATAAAACACACACCATTATAACGTGATTCATTAACTCTAGTGTAATAAGAAAATATATAAAATTATTGTTCATCCTCAAATATCACAAAAATTATTATTTGACAAAATCCAACGACACGTACTTACTCCTATTCTTTCTTCTTTTTTTCCGATTACGTGCCAACTGCTGCGTACAGTTTCTCACTAAGCAAATAAGATATCGTCAATTAGGTCACTTTCATCTTTACTCACGTTTCTCGAATCCTTTTCCACCACGTGTTTCCACTTTCCGAAGAAACATTTCGTTTATATCGCTACTTCCTTATCGTACGACCTCCTTAAAAAAAAAAAGAAGAAAAAATTTTCGACAAAATATCGAATAAAATAAGAATTATTTATCATAATATAACAATATTAATATACAATTAATAGCGAAACAAAAATTAATTATTGCATATATATATATATATATATATATATATATATATATATATATATATATATANTATATATATATATATATATATATACATTATACTTACAATTTGAATTAATTCATTTTGGATTTATGAATGATCAATTTATTTATTTATTTTTTCTTTTATTATATTTATATAAAATCTACTCACTGTATAAAATTGTTTTAATTCCCATAGACGATACATGGTGATACAAAAAACATAATATTTAATAAAAATGACAAATCGATATGAGACATTAGTTTGAAAGTGTTGATGTGTATTAGTGATAGCATAAGGTTTCGATGTACGATAGCATAAAATAACCGGTTGGTGATTGGCAATGACCTCAACAGCGCTATTGGCCTCATTTCTTGAGAACCTGTTTGAGTCTTTTGAAACTTCACTTCTTTTACTTCCTTCTTCCTTTCCCGTTCGACTCTTTTTACCATCTTCTTTCTCTCTTTCTGTTTAATCCTTCAGAGATCGCTTTCTTTTATTCTATTTTTCCCCTTTTATTCTCTTCCATAGATAATACCGTTTCATCATTGTACATCATCATGTACATACACTTTTATAATACACTAACATATGGTTAATAAGATCACTGTAATCTATTTTCATTTTCTTAAACAAACAGCTTTCAGTTTTTTTGTTCTTCCTTTTTTCTTTTTCCATTCATTTCCTTTCATTTTCCTCGTATAATACATATATATATATATATTGTTTCAACAGTTTTATCCATCAACATTATTATTCTGTCGTTACTTTTTTTTTTACTTTATTAATACCCTTTTTTCTTAATTTTTTTTTAATTAGTTCGATTCTTTAACATCTCATCTGAAAACTATGCTAAAATCAATACAATTGTTATATCTAATTGATAAATAGTAAAACAAAAATACATGTACTATTTGAACACAAATCTTTGTTTTGATGGGCATGTTAAAATATGCTAATTATAATTAATAAAATTCAGTATTGATTAAGTTCAAAAATTCGCAACTTATTAGGTAGAATTAAATAAACGTGAGCAAATGTTCAGTAGAATAGTCATTCAACTCATAAAAGGAAAAATAATAGACATATTAATAAAAGTTTTACAATTAAATCATTTAAATTGATTATTATTTAAAATAATTCATAAAAAAACATAGGCCAATAAATTTTTTATTTTTTATTTCGTCATAAAAAGAACGTTGACATTTTTAAGGTTAACGGTTCGCGAAAAAGTCACGTAGAAAAATTAAATATTTCGGTTACACGTTGGTCGTAAAAATTTATCGTTTAAAAATAGATCGTCCAAGTTAATTATTATTATTATTATTATTATTATTATTATTATTATTATTATTTGTTTTGTTTTATTTCTAATCCCTAATTTAACGACCGTGACATATATTTTTTTTAAATAAATTTTTAAATATTTATTTATCTCACCAAGTATCGTGAAGGAAGTAAACGAAAAATTCTTCAATTATGAATTATTTCGATATTTATTTTTGAATCAATTTGCATAAATCTCATCGTTTCTTGATTACTTACAATTAGGATTGTTCATTACTTATTCTTAACCGCAAGAATAGTCAAATCGTTTGATTAACAATCATCAGTACCACCCCTTTACCACAGACAGTTAAACAAAGAGAAAGAAAGAGAAAGAGAGAGAGGTATCATCATCTGACAGTTATTAACTAATCTATCAACAACTTATCCAACTTTACACATTTTATTAAACATTAAAATTAAACAATACTTGTCACATTCTTTCGTCAAGTTATTAATAATTTTCTACAGTATGGTAAAGTCTGAAGTAATTCCCAATATGCATAGCACGTTGATTTGTACATGTTTCACAATAAAATGTTGTTTACCGCCTTCCACCTGGTGTTCTTCTGTCAGAACAGACAATACAATCCCATTTTTTTTCTTTATTTATATATATATATATATATATTTCTTATTATTATCATTTTTATTATCTTATTATTATATATTTCTTAATTTTATCTTATTTCGATTTGTTTTTTTGTGCCATTTTAATAGAAAACTACAGAAAAACACGTGTTTCTTAAAAAATTGCGGTGTAACAAGTTCATTCTCCGTAATTGCTAATAAGCTTTCATGTCCCCTCAGAGGGGACAACCGAGTGCAAAGGGTTAAAACCTTGACTACAAATGTGAAATAATTCGTCAAATTTAAAGACGTCAAATTGAAAGGTGTCATCTGTCTACGGATGTCATCAAAAGTTGGGGGTCATACGAATATGTAAAATAATTGATCATTATCCTAAAGTTGCTGAATTGTGTGTATAATTTTATATCAAATAAATTTTAACATTTCTACTGTTATATGTTGTTAAATATGTTTATATATGTATGTATGTTCTATTTTACTTGAAATTTTTTTTTGTAAAATTTATTTTTTTATAGCTTCTTTTTCATTTATCGAAAACATTTATGAGTAAATAAGCATATATATTTTTTCCCATTATGGCCTCATAGATAAGGTTTTAACATATTATAATGTTATATATTGTTTTAATATGTTATATTGTTAAATATTGTGTTAAATAATGTTATATAATCTGTTAATATATTATAATTTTATATATTGTGTTACAAACCGACATGAATCACCTTTTGAAAAAAAGAGTAAGATTGTTCTTTGTAGATTATGCATTTCTTATAATAGAAAAATTCAAGAAGAACTTGATTAATGATCGCATATAATTAAATGTGTTAAACATATTTATTCAAAGTAAAAAACTTTTTAAATAAAACATCTTTAACAATTAATTGTTTCTTATCATTGATAACAAACAATTGTTCGAGGGATATAGCGGTAGTTCTTTTTTTTTTTTTTTCAAAGAAAAATGTACACAAATGGTTTCGAAAAAAGGGACAAACTAGACAATCGAAGATCGGGAAGCAAATCAGTAGAGCTCTTTAGGCTAGGGTCAAATCAGGACCTGGATAGTTGAGGAATTTCGAGAGGGGAAGGAAAATGAAGAACGAGGAGTTGAACACGCAAATTAGGTCAAAGATTATCGAAACTTGGAAATCATTCCGGTTAAATACCCTGTGTCATTGTCGGGGAGATTTTGGTGGTGGTAGTGGGGGAGGGGGAGGTTTGTAATAGGTCAAAAGAGAAACTGACGTCAGTTAACATCTCAGAGTGTGTGTTCATAACAGAATGAAGTTGATTTAGAAAAGGTTTAAGATCGGTTCGGGATTATTTTGAATGAGTGATTAATAATCTAAACAGTTCAGAATACTAGGTTTTACGAATATAAAAAGAATAATGGAATATAGGCTTACACTTGTTATTGCAATAGTATAAAATAGATAGAATATATGTAGATCTAAAGTAATAAGATCAAAAATAATGAAACTTATTAGAAGAATAACTGAAAACACGATTTTGACTAATTAAAATAAATATCAAATTTATTGAACTTTATATTATTAATGGTAAGTGTTCGAATGTTAATTATTATTAATTATAATATAGAAAAATATGATAAAATTGTGTGTGTGTGTTTTTTTTTTATAGGTAGGTAGAAGTTAGTAGTAATGTTGATGGTTAGGATTATGAGTTTTTGATTATACGCGATGATCGTTAAAGATGTTGAAAGATGTTAGTGGGATGTAACTTTTGCGTTGGATTAGAAATAGTATTATGCATTAGATTGATTTGATATAGCTTTAATAAGCGTGGAAAATAATATAGGAAAATGACACAATTTAATGATAAAAAAGAAATAGAAGGAAAGAAAACAACAAAAATACGGTTCAATTCGATGAAACGTGTAGTTAACAATCTAAATGACTTTGATATAAAAAAAATATTAGATGTTAGATCTGTGTCGAGTATTAAAAAATATATATATTGCGTTAGTTATATAAGTTTGAAAAGAAATAAATAATAACACATTTTTTATATATACCAAGCAATGTACAATGCATTTAAGTTGTTGTTTTTTTTCTCTATCGACTTCTTTTTTGTTTTGTTTTTCTTTGTAATTATTTACAAAAAGAAAAACTCCCTGTTCAAACTTTACATAAGCTTTCTTTATATAACGTAGTGCATCGTCGCATTATATATTTTAATATGTGTTTAAATACGCATTATTTACACAAGTGACATCCATGATAATTACTTTTACTACAGTACAAGTACGTTAATTTAACCTAATATCGCGTTAAAAGACAAAAAAAAAAAAAAAGAAAATATTAAACGCCATCAATCTCAACATTGTCTACTGTATTTGTTGATACCTCTTTACATACGTATATTTCTATCGGTAATTTCTTTTCTACAAAATTAGTTATCAAACATATTTTAAATCAAATAAATAAAAGTGTAGAAAGATTGTATAAAAGTTTCATGAAATAAATTATACATCATTAATTGTCGGAAACAATTATTATCATAGATTTCGTTGTGCACGGTCAAACTTGAACTGGAGAATATAATTAAATATTTTTCTACAAATTATATATACATTTATATGTAATAATTTTTTTTATCTATATGTACGACATATGATATTATAATAATTGTAAATTTCATTTTTATATTATATATATTTAACAAGCGAAAATATTTAAGAAGTTTTCGATTTTGTAAATTTAAATTTACAATTGAATTTTATTATTAAATCATTTAATATGAAACGTCTAATTAAACTAATATAATATATTAGTTATATATATAATTATAAAAGGTTGTATATTATATTTTTATATTATATAGTATTAATATATAATATAAAAATAAATAAAATATATATATATATATATATATATATATATATAGATTATCCTTATCTAAATTTGATTTATATTATTATTTAATCATAATTAACCTATTGTTATTTTATTTTTAATTGTAAAAATTTTCATATTATGATTATGATAACTATATATATTATGATAACTTTCTTATTTTGGAGCTTTGATTATTTGTAAGAGAAATTCAAATAAATCATTCGAAAGTTAACGGGAAATCTATGCGTCAACCGAATAGTAATGGATGAATTGTAAACGGACAGAAGGAAATACGAAGAGACACTAAAAAGCACTCATAAATTTATAGTTAGGTCTTCTTTACAATGAAAACTAAACTTTCACACATCCATGAAATACTATGTTAAATTCTTCTCAGCATTCATATTACCATTGGATTTTTTTGTTATAGTCATTAATATTAATTGAAATGCATCAATACTTTTTATATATAATAAAAAGCCCATAATTCGTTCATATTTACATATGATTACACACAATTATGAAGTCACAGTTTCTAATGGCCATTTTTTTATATATCTTATTATTATTATTATTATTATTATTATTATTATTATTATATTATGTTCGTTATCGACCAATTAATCTATTGGAAACAAAACAGGTTTTATAAAAATTTAAAAAAAATTTAAAAAAGAAAATCAACCAACATTGATACATTGAATAGCTATATTACAGAGAAACAACTTTTTAATTAAATTTAATAGAAGAAGAAAATAATATGTCTATTAATTGACTTGTTTATAGATCTTACGTAATCATGGCACCAAACTTGTTTGGAACAACAGCATCATTATTTTTGGAAGCATCCCAGACTGGAATAATAGATGAAAATTCGACGACAGAAAAAACAAGTTCACCGAAATTAGAAAAGAAAAAATTAATAAAATCACAGCAAAAATATAGGTGGAATATTGTATGGAGAAACGTCATAGCATTTCTCTATCTTCACATTAGCTTCCTTTATGGATTGTATTTAGCTTTCACTGCTGCAAAATTGGTTACTACGATATTCGGTAAGTTATTATAACAAATCAATTTTGATATTATAAACGAACGTTCGAGGATTAATATTTAGGACACAATATCATATATAATTGACTTATACTACTGCACATTTATTGTAAAAAGAAAAAAACAATCAACAATTTATAGTCTATGAAAAGATAAGAACAATAAACCATATTTGTTTCAGCGATAACCAGTGGCTTTTTAGCAGGCTTCGGTGTAACGGCAGGTGCTCATAGATTATGGGCACATAAATCTTACAAAGCTAAATGGCCGATGAGAGTAATACTGATGATTTGCCAAACTATGGCATTTCAAGTAAGTTTATTCACTTTTATTACATTTTTAAATATAAATATAAGTAATCACGTAAAACTTGTGTTCATTTCATTCCGTTGAATCAAAGAACACATTATTTGTAATAAAAAAATACTTATACATAACAATAAATATTATATACCGATTTTAAATAAAAATATGAACTACAAATTATAAACAAAGTAATAACAATCTAAATTAAATCAATTATTTTATTTGATTGAAAAATAACTTTCAATACAAAGGCATTAAATTATTACTTATGAAATGCTAATCGAAAAAGAAAATGACACTTGCACTAGAGAGCGAAGGTTGTGCAATATTGCGAACAAGTAAATGCAATTGTTAATATTGCAGAATCACATTTACGAATGGGTCAGAGATCATCGGGTCCATCACAAGTTCACTGACACGGATGCTGATCCTCATAACTCGCAAAGAGGATTTTTCTTCTCTCACATCGGCTGGCTAATGTTAAAAAAGCATCCCGATGTTATAAAAAAAGGTGCTACGGTAGATATGAGCGATCTCGAGAAAGATCCGGTGGTCGTATGGCAACGCAGGTAAATATCAATTACCTTCGAATATATTGAAATATTTCTTTTTTTTTTTAATATTAAATAATCGATATAATTTGTTCTTTTTTTTTATTTCTAGACTTTATATCATTCTTATGCCGCTATTTTGTTTCATCATTCCTACGTGGATACCTATATATTTCTGGAATGAGCGTCCGATGTACTCATGGTACCTTACGATTTTTAGATATACCTTATCTTTAAACATTACCTGGCTAGTAAATTCTGCTGCACATATTTGGGGTACAAAACCGTATGATAGGTATGTGAACGTTATTTTGGTTTTTATTACAATATTAATTAAACTACGCTTACGCGATAATATTAACTATTATATTATTATAATTAAAACAAAAAGAAACAAAAGTGATGCGAAATATATTAAAATAAAACTATTTCAGTATCTTAATAACTTGTGTATCACTCTAAAAAATATTTAATAAAATAATATTTATCATTTTTTCTTTTTTGCTAGTACGATTTCTCCAACAGACAGTTATTCGGTTGGTATTGCTGCATTCGGTGAAGGTTGGCATAATTATCATCACGTATTTCCGTGGGATTACAAAGCTGCTGAGTTAGGAAATTACAAAGTAAATTTTTCAACGGCAATTATCGATGGTTTTGCTAAAATTGGTTGGGCTTATGATCTCAAGACAGTCTCACACGAAATGATTGAAAAGCGTGCATGTAGAACGGGAGATGGTACAAAGTATCAAAATGTCAAAGATCAACACGAGCACAATCATAATAATTCTATTTGGGGTTGGGATGATCCAGATATCAATACTGAAGATGTTCAAAGCGCAAGGATATTAAATAAGGCCGAATAAGACTATTATTATTGGATTGGTGGTGGCGTTAATAAAAAGAAAATTACCAAATAAAAAAAAAACCATAGCGAAAATGAGAAAAAATTAAAAAAAATTAATGAAAAAAAGAAGTATATCTTGTATAGGAAAGATTTTTTTAATATTTTCGCGTTTTTATCATTATTAGATTATATTTATGTTCAATGCGTTGTTATTACTATGGTATTATTTTTTCAACTTTAATCATTTATTTCGGAAACCTTATGTGCAATTTTATATGAGCTCTGATATTAAATTTACCGATAAGTGAAACACGATTACCCTATGATGACATGATAGTCAATTTACACTAACTCAATGAAACGTCAATTAAAAATCAAAAATACAGTAGTTACGATGATGCTAAAATCTTTTTCTGTTTTTTTTTTTTTTCCTTTTTAAGTCTATTTGTATTAACTGTATCTCCACATATGTGGGAGATACGCAATTGAGTAGATCGTAGTTTTCATACGATTCGGTAGATAATATTTATCATTAACTTAATACAAATTTTTACTTTGAAGAATAAACGAAAAAACGTCTGCGTAAAAGTACAAAAAGAAAAAAAAGGATTTCGTTTGGATCCATCGTACATCGTAAGATAAATATGCTCTCATAATAAGAAGGTTTCTCAAATAAATGATTTTTACGGTTGCTGTAATTATTGATAAGATTTCTCATTTATAAATTTCTATAGTGTCTTCCGTGATCGTGTTATCTCGCAAGAATTTCAATTCGATAAAGTCTTATTTTAGAAATTAGAAATATCACCCATACTTTTAATATTAACTTAATAAATCGTTTATAACTCATAATTAATAAGTAGTAATCTTTCTTGATAAAAAATCAAAAATATTCGATAACGATAATTTGAATTTAATTACTTTTCCTTAACAATATAATTTATATACATAAAATTGTATATAAGTGGTCAGTTTAAAATAATTCATTTATAATCGTATATTATATATCATTATATCGTATATTAAATATATTGTAAAAATTTTTGTGAGATAACAAATCTGCCTTGTAAATATAGTTACAGCACACCAATATGCAATACGAATATAATATAATATAATATAAATAAATTATGTATAAGCTTCCGCATTTTATGTCTTATAGAAATATACCAGACTTATCGTAAATTTTAGAAACAATAACTAAAAACCATAATAATTTTAAGCCAAAGGGGCTGTTAGAATTACTAAGGAAGGTGTCTATTACGTTTTATTTGTATGTAATATATATATATATATATATATATATATATA